TGTTTGCTTCCTGGGGCTGAGAGAAAGTGGCTGGTCTGGCTTCTTTGTGCCTTAAGGCAAGAATAATAGAATATAATAGACCGTCTACTCTATTCTATTCTATTATTATTCTATGTATACTATTCTAGTGTGTGTGTGTGTGTCTATGTGTGTATATACATATACACGTATACACACACACACACACATATATATGAATAGAATAGAATTCTTTATTGGCCAAGTGTGATTGGACACACAAGAAATTTGTCTTGATGTAAATGCTCTCAGTGTGCACAAAAGAAAGACGCATTCGTCAAGAATCATAAGGTACAACACTTAATAATAGTCATAGGTACAATAAGCAATCAAATCATACTAGGAAACAGTCCATATAAATCGTTAGGATACAAGCAACAAAGTTACGGTCATACAGTCATAAATGGGAGATGGGTGAAAGGAAAGATGGAAGGATTAATAGTAATAGCAATACTTAATATATTATAGATAGAATAATATATATATTATTCTCTCTATATATACTATTATTCTATCTACCACAACATTGTCAAACTGCTTAGTAAGACTGTATTACTATTATTCTCTTCCTTCCTATGATCTATCTCTTCCCACTTACGACTATAACCATGTTGCTTGTGTCTTTACAATTTATACTTTTTATTTGTTTCTTAGTATGATTTGATTGTTTATTAGTTAACCTATGTATGATTTGATTGTTTACATTAATCTATACCTATCAGTAAGTGTTGTATCTTATGATTTTTGATGTATTTTTTTTTCTTATGTAAACTGAGAGCATTTGCACCAAAGACAAATTCCTTGTGTGTCCAATCACACTTGAAATTCTATTCTGTTCTGTTCCATTCCGTTCCGTTCTATTCTATTCAACTCAGGGTCTTCTGGTTTCTAACTGGTCATCAACCTCCAATATAACCCTAACCCTTCATATCTACCCACCCATGGAAAAAGGGGTGGGAACATTTGATGTGCTTCCATGAAATTGCTTATTCAACCCCCAGAGTTGGAAGGAGTGACATTTGGCCTTTCCACGAGAGGCTCAGGGTCAAAAAGAGAAAAAAATATTTCCATCCTTCCATCCTTCTCCTCCCTACCCCATCCTGGCCTATCCCTTGCTGCCTAAGAGGAGGGGCAGCTCCCACTAAGAGCCTTTATGTAACAGCCAGAGAGCAAAGCCTGACCCCCAAGAAGAGAATGGAGATAGACAGATAGATAGATGACAGACAGACAGACAGACAGACAGACAGACAGACAGACAGACAGGATAGATAGATAGATAGATAGATAGATAGATAGATAGATAGATAGATAGATAGATAGATAGATAGAGATATAAACAGACAAATAGTAATAATGGTGATGATATAGTTTTAGATAGATAAAGAGAGAATATAGATTTATTTGTTAAACAGATGAGTGAGGGAGATAGGGAGGGAAGGAGAAAGAGATATAAATACTAGCACTGATGGTGTTACCTAGTTGGGTCATGAAATGTCTGCAAGAAAAACATCAAGCTCAGAGAATTCCAATGACGACTACTCTTCCTCTTCTTCTTCTTCTTCTTCTTCTTCTTCTTCTTCTTCTTCTTCTTCTTCTTCTTCTTCTTCTTCTTCTTCTTCTTCTTCTTCTTCTTCTTCTTCTTCTTCTTCTTCTTCTTCTTCTTCTTCTTCTCCTCCTCCTCCTCCTCCTCCTCCTCCTCCAAATCCACTTCTTTCTAGTCCTGATGATGTTTCCGAGTTGGATCATGAAATGCCTGCAAGGAAACCCCCAAGTTCAGAGCGCCTCAAGGACCCCACATTTCAACCCTGAGCTACCAATATTCTCCTTTAGGGATAGGCGATGTGAGACCCTGGAACGATTCAGAGGCCAAGCCAGTTGGTCTGTGTGCCAAAGGGTTTCTGCCACACAGGGCTGGGTGTCCCTCTGATGGCTTTTCCCAGACCCACAATCCAGGGGGATCTAAAACACCCACATTTTTGTCAGTTCGCTAAATGGCGTTCTCCAAGAATTGCTTTTGCCACGGAGTATACAGTGCCCTCTCCCTGCCAGCAGGTGTCCCTTTGGGTGAAGGTGGGGGGTGGGGGTGAAAATTCCCCTCCCCCACCCCCACTATTCAGTAAATACGAGCCACTTTAACCCACGAATTTAATCAGCAAACCCCAAAGTCAAGATTTCTTTTTTTCTTTTCCTGTCTCAAGCACAAAGTCTAGCAGCGGTATCTAAGCAGAAAAAAAAAACTAGATTATTTTAATTCGCTGATTAAAATAATAGAATTCTTTGTTGGCCAAGTGTGATTGGGCACACAAGGAATTTGTCTTCGTGCAAACTCTCTCGGTGTACATAAAAGAAAAGACACATTTGTCAAGAATCATCGGGTACAACACTTAATAATAGCCATAGGATACAATAAGCAATCAAATCATACTAAGAAAGTCAATTTAATATAAGAATAAGAATAAGAATAAGAATAAGAATGGAATGGAATGGAATGGAATAGAATAGAATAGAATAGAATAGAATAGAATAGAATAGAATAGAATAGAATAGAATAGAATTCTTTATTGGCCAGGTGTGATTGGACACACAAGGAATTTGTCTTGGTGTAAATACTCTTAGTACATATAAAAGAAAATATATGTACATCAAGAGTCAAGACTTATAAGGTGTAACACTTAATAATAGTCATAGGTACAATAAGCAATCAAATCATACTAGGAAACAGCCAATATAGATAGTAAGGCGACAAAGTTATAGTCATACAGTCACAAATGGGAGGGTTTGGGTGATAAGGAGTGATGAGAAGATTAACAGCAATAGTAGTGCAGTCTTTGTAATAGTTGGACAGTGTTGAGGGAATTATTTGTTTAGCAGAGTGATGGCATTCGGGGGAAAACCTGTCCTTGTGTCTAGTTGTTCTGGTGTGCAGTGCTCTATAGTGTCATTTTGAGAGAAGGAGTTGAAACAGTTTATGTCCAGGATGTGAGGGGTCTGTAGATATTTTCACAGCCCTCTTTTGGACTCGTGCAGTATACTGGTCCTCGATGGAAGGAAGGTTGATAATGATTGTTTTTTCTGCAATTTTAATTACTCTTTGAAGTCTGCGTCTGTCTTGTTGGGTTGCAGAACCAAACCAGACAGTTCTAGAGGTGCAGATGACAGACTCCATCATTCCTCTGCAGAACTGGATCAGCAGCTCCTTGGGCAGTTTGAGCTTCCTGAGTTGGCGCAGGAAGAACATTCTTTGTTGTGCTTTTTTGATGACGTTTTGGATGTTAGGTGTCCATTTTAGGTCTTGTGATATGATAGAACCTAGAAATTTGAAGGTCTCTATTGTTGATACTGTGTTGTCTAGTATTGTAAGAGGTGGTCTTATGGGAGGGTTTCTCCTAAAGTCTAATAATTAATTTTTCCATCTTGGCCAATTCCATCCCTTTTTCCATCGTTCTCCCCATTGTGGGAATGGACATATCTTTCCATTTTAGTCTGTAAAGAATTCTCGCTGTGCTCAGTATATATAAAATCTCAAAGCTCCATATATTTTTTTCAAGCTCCTTTCTGATACAGGTACTCCTCAACTTACAATGGTTCATTAGTGACTGTTCAAAGTTACAATGGCACCGGGGGGGGGGGAAAGGGACTTGTTTTTCTTTTCTTTTTTCTACCCCCACCCCAAAAAAAGGGAAAAAAAAGGGACTTGCTGAATGACAATATGAACCAGGTTTTGTAAAAGTTGCGACTTGCTCGAAAAGGATGATGTGAATTTGTAATCACAGTCTAATAATGATTTGATAATAATATGGTATCAAGTGGACAGTAGCTTTATACATTATGAAATGAAACATAAAATTAAGAGGGAATATTCTGCACAAAAGATATGTACCAAACGACACACTGTACCGTGATGACCCAGGGTGGGATACAAAACAAACACAGTAACAGGAAACAGGTGAAGCCCCTTTTATTCCTTCACTTTATTCTAAATATCCTTGACGGAAGACAAAAAAACTCCCACACAAACAGTTACAAGAAGGAGGGAAAAAAACAACACAAGCCAGGCAAGATAAGGGCTGGAGGACGTCCACAGATAACAGGACACACACTGGAAAGGACGCCAAACTCAGAGAGGAACCATAAACTAGAGATACTTCCATGCTTTATTTCCAGCGCTCGCCCATACGCATGTCTGTCCTCTTATTCAATTGTCACAGCTGCAGCCCATGAAGAAGATCAAAGCTCTCTCCTCCCGAGTAGACCATGTCTCTCCCTTATCCTCTCCTCCCTCCATGCCCTAGGATGGAGAGGAGATGGGCCTGGGTCCTCCTCTGACTGTCCAGCCGGCGTCTGCCCTTCCCCAGCCTCCTCCACAACCTCCGGAGCCACATTTCCACTCCCTGTCCGCTGTTCCTCCTCTCCTTCAGTCAGTCTCCACCAGGGGCATGACACTGTACAATGGAAAGATGATTTTATTTGATGTTTTGTGTTTTTGTGTTTGTTTATGTTTGTTGTTAAAAATTACACAAAAATTTCCAAAAAAGAAAAAAAAAACAGGGACTTGTGACCAGTTTTCACACTTAATGACTGTTGCAGAATTCCCTCACGGTCACGTGATCAAAATTCGGCCGCTTGGGAACTGAATTCACATTTATGACGGCCGCGATCCCTTTTGGTGACCTGCTGACAAGCAAAGTCAATGGGGAAGCCAGATTCACTTAACAACGAGGTTACCACCGCCGTGATTCACTTAACAACAACGGCAAGGAAGGCCGTAAAAGGGGGCAAAACGCTCACTTAATGTCAGTTAACGACATAAATTTTGGGCTCGAGGATTGCCTGTGACCCTCAAAGAAAACCATCCGGTTTTGGTTTTAGGCTAATTTTCGGGATCTGCTGCCCCGCAACCTTTCTCTCTTGGCTTCGTCCCACGTCCATGGAAGCTGCGAAGTGGGGAGTTCTGACCCCTGTCTCCTTATTGGTTCCTCCAGATACGAAAGGGACTATCCGGGAGATTGTCCTTCCCAAAGGCCTGGATCTGGACCGGCCCAAGAGGACTCGGACCTCCTTCACCGCAGAACAACTGTATCGTCTGGAGCTGGAATTCCAGCGGTGCCAGTATGTCGTGGGCAGAGAAAGGACGGAATTAGCCAGGCAGCTCAACCTTTCAGAAACCCAGGTAAGAGAGAGAGGGAGGGAGAAGGGGAAAGAGAGGGGGGGAAGGGAGAGGGAGAGAGAGAGGGAGAGGGGGGGAGGACAGGAGGCAGGGAGAGGGAAAGAAGGAGAGGGAGGGAGAAAGAGAAAGGGAAGAAGGGCTGGAGAGGGAGGGAAGGGAGGAAGAGAGAGGGACAGAGTGGGGGAGAGAGAAAGACAGGGAGAGAGAGAGGAGGGAGGGAGAGAAAGAGAAGGACAGAGAGAAAGGAAGGGGAGGGAGGGAGGGGGACAGAGAGAGGGAGGGGGAGGACAGGAGGCAGGGAGAGGGAAGGAAGGCGAGGGAGGGAGAAAGAAAGGGAAGAAGGGCTGGAGAGGGGGGGAAGGAAGAGAGAGGGACAGAGTGGGAGAGAGAGAAAGAGGGAGAGAGAGAGGAGAGAGAGACCGAGAGAAGGACAGAGAGAAAGGGAGAGGGACAGAGAGAGAAAGGGAAACAGAGGGAGAGGGGGAAGGAGAGTAAGGGAGAGAAAGAAAGAGAAGGAGGGGTAGAGAGGGAAGGAGACATGGTGGACACCATGTCCACCATGCCACGCCCACCAAGCTACGCCACGCCCAAGCCACACCATGCCCACCAAGCCACACCACGCCCATGAAGCCATGCCACGCCCACCAAGCCACGGCACACCCATGAAGCCACACCATGTCCACCATGCCACACCCACCAAGCTACGCCACGCCCAAGCCACACCATGCCCACCAAGCCACACCACGCCCAAGCCACACCACGCCCACCAAGCCACACCACGCCCATGAAGCCACGCCATGCCCACCAAGCCACACCACGCCCACCAAGCCACA